CCAAGTTTGTCTATGAGATTCAAGCATCAGAGTTTGCTTGTTTGAGTAAAGAGAAGCACATCGACACTATAAGGGTCATTTAGTGCTGGGAAAAAGTAAGAAAGGCAAAATCGAAAGAAGTAAAGAAATAGGACCTACCAGTACCAGTGGCGTCTTCCAACCACCCGTAAGACTCTAGAGAAAAGGATACAATTAAACATACAAAGTGCTCAGAAATGTGGCATAGGAAATAGTCATACACAGAAAAACAGAACTAAAGATAAGAACACGAAGAGCGTAGTTCCCTCAAGCAGCCAAAAGCGATATACACGAACAGTAACAGTCGAGACAGGAAGCCGCAAAGCGGGATGTGCGCTTATTCCGAAAGGCAATCTCATTTTTGACAGCGACCCAGATAAACGTAGTTGATCTTGGTGATTGAATCAGGTTGCGTCAAGCCGATACGAGCGCAGGAAAAAGTGGCTTAACTGGAAGATTATTCCACCTTTGAACACATCCAATTTTGTCATAATTTTTTTTCGGCATAAAGAAAGTTCCAATAACTCCACTCATATATAGTTGCATAGAATAACACCAAACTGAGAAAAAATCAGTTATCCTTATGAAGAACATACAGTTTTATCGAAGGGAAGACGCATTTGCTGGTAATAAGCGGTAGATTTTTATTACTGTACACACTAGCGTGATGCTGAGAGCCAGTTGAACTAGCTGGCCGGTCGTAAACTAAGAATTAAATGTCCGTTAAGATAAAACGTATACTACAGAAATAGCGAGACGTCGAACAAAATGTCTACACCTATTTGACCGAACAAGAACTTCCCTATATCGATTGGAGGAAATCATAAACTATATTATCACGAGAACCGCACCGAAGCCAGAGACTGCTGGTCAGAGGAGGAGGGGGGGAGGCAGAAAAGGGGAGGGGACGGAGGTGGTGGGGCGGAGGGGGTTTTATCGTCTACCCGCCGTGACAAACGAGAAGTTAACAATTTCGGGGGAAACTGCGGGCAAATGAAGGAGTGCTGGAGTTAGGAAGAGTGAGATTACAGCCGAAGCCAGGCAGCATAACTTTCCCGCTATCGCTCTTCTTCTTCTTCTTCTTCTTCTTCTTCTTCTTCTTCTTCTTCTTCTTCTTC